TATAGTCATTGCTTCTCTGTTTCTATTTTGTGGATTTACATTTGTTTAGTTTATTTTCCTATTTTTCTCAGCTGTACTCTTATTTTTGACTCCCGTGTGCGAAGCACAAAAGGGAGTCTTTGCAGTTACCCTGTCTGTCTGTCTGTATGTATGTATGTATGTCACTTTTTTTGTTCCACCGTTATCTCAAGAACCACTAATCAAATTTTACATAGATAATGGGATAATGCGCAGAGTTGATTATGTTTTGGTAAAAATCTATGAATATTAATTACCTAATTTGCATGATAATTTGCTGATTTTTGGCTGTTCCAAGACTGTTCCACTGATATTTGAAGAACCACTCATTGGATTTTGATGAAACTTGGCGCATGGATGCTCTGAACCAATACACAGATTTGATTAGTTTTGAGTAAAAATCTATGAATATTAATTACCTAATTTGCATGATAATTAACTGATTTTAAGCTGTTCTATGACTGTTCCACTGATTTTTGAAGAACCACTCATTGGATTTCAATGAAACTTGGCACATGGATGCTCTGAACTAATGTGCAGATTTGATTAGTTTTGAGTAAAAAATCTGTTAATATTATTAATTACCTAATTTACATAATGATTAATCAATTTTCGGCTTTTCCACCGATATCTCAAGTACTAATCATAACATTTCAATAAAACTTGGTGCATAGATGTCATATGACACTGCACAGACCTGATAGTTTTTAGGGTAATATCAGTACATATTAATTACCTAATTTGCATAATTAATTAATTTTAAACTTTTAATATTTCGAGTAGTTACTTGAGGACTGTGCAGAGACCTGATTAATTTTGGGATAAATAATTGTGCCTATTAATTACCTAATTTGCATAATTAGTTAATTTTTTGCTGTTCTATGGCTGTTGCACTGATGTCTAAAAACCACTCATTGGATTTCAATGAACCTAGGACTAAACACCATATTAGTTTTTGGTAAATATTTATGCTTCTTAATCACCTAATTAACATAATTAATTAATACTAATATCTCAAGTATTGATCATCACATTTGAATAAAACTTTGTACATAAATGCTCTAGGACAATAGACAGCCTGATTAATTTTGGGTTAAAATCTGTTCATATTAATTCTCTAATTAGCATAATAATTAATATTTTTTTGGTTCTAATCACAGTTCAATGAAACTTGGTACATTGTGCAGGGGTTATTAGTTTTACACTTAAATCTGTTCATATTAGTTACCTTATTTGCATAATTAGTTTTCTGCGTTTTCATCAACATCTCAAATTCAAATAATTTTGAATTAATTTTTAATGTGTCTTCAATACTCTCAGCACACGAGAGTTCTTTCTAAGCTTTCTTTGATTTTGTACATGATCATGGTTTCACTTCCTGGTCCAAATGTAACATTCACCTCTTTCGCTCTCTCTACAGGAGATCTATATAATGAGGCAGCAGAGGCAGCTATGGCAGCAATGAAAGGAAGACTGGCTAACAAGTATTACATGTTAGCAGAGGAATGCTATGGCGAGATTTCAGATGACGATGCTGAGGGAGAGTAAAAAAAAAAATGGTGACGATGACGACGCAAATGGCGGGAATGATTTGGGGGAGTATCCAACAGACATGTTAGTAACCTGAAGGGCATAGGCATCCACAATCCAGTGTATTTTGTATTTAATCTTCTAAAAGTAACGGGTTTCGGGAAATTCTCATTGTTTATTTAATCCTAGGTAATTATATGTTGTATATATTGTAGCATGTATTCAACATGTAGTTGGCTGTGTAACTCTCTTGTTTTTTCCACCTTTTACAGTAGTCTCCATGGCAACACTGATAGCGAAAGGGTTATACTGTATTACTGTGCAAATGAGACCATTCACTGGTATGTTCAATGAATGTTGATATTACTGGATACACTAGACTGGATTTTAACTGTTTAATATCTACAGATAAATGTTATTTGATTCAATTCAATTCTGACAACATTGCATAGCTACGTCCTTTGTTGGCTGGTTTCTTTGTTTAGCACCGTGGACGAAGAATGTAGCTCTGTTAAATTTAAATGTTCTCATATTTGAAAATTTTAAAACTTTCTTGATGATTAATTAACTAAATGTCATGGTTACGATGAATCCAAAAGGTATTGTAAATAAAAACTTAAAAATAATCAAAAGTACAAAAAGATAAAAATTTACTGTAAATATTTTATTTTTATTACATTGCTTGGTGTACACTGACAAGGGCATTTATTTATAATTTTTATAACAATTTTAAATGTTTATACATTGTTACTTTTATAGTATAGCCCGGAGATCCTTGATCACTTTTTTCCTTTATTTGTTTTTGTTTTATTTTTTGCGAATGTTGAGAAAATTTAGTACATGTTCATCAGTCATTCTGGTTGTACAAACCATGCACTGAGTAATTCAGTCTTGTCCTGATTCATACTTGTAAAAGTCAAATTTAGTGTACTCATAGTCATGTATATTCCAACGCTCAAAGTCATTTAGATGAATTATTCATAACTAGTTCAGCATTTAGTAATCGCTATGAACAAGGAAAAACTAGAAACCCAAACCAAAAATAGCTTATTACCAACCGATACATCATTTCTTTTTTAATCGGATAGTCTCATCGTTCTTGTTTTGTGAGCATGAGCATTGCCCTCATGATTTTAATATATTGCAATTTAGGTAATTCATTCATGTTTTAGGGGTGGTTGAAATAAAAAAAAAAATGCTTCATCTCAAATGAACATAACTGCTCAAAAGTACAACCAGAATTACTAATACATTTGACTTTTAAAAATGCCTTATTCCATTCTGTCAAGTTTATGTCTAAGCACTTTAAAACTTTTAGGATTTTTAGTATATTTTTAACAAAATTCTGATGCAATTTACAACTGTTTGTGCAACAATAATAACAAGTTAATTAATCATAGTCAAAATGATCTTCAGGCTTTAATACAAAATGAAGATATCATTTATGTAATTAGTTTGTTTTGTTAAAATGTATATAACTTAACGCAATACCAAGGATTCACTTTTACCAAGTTGACTATTTTAATATTCCTTCTGAAAACACATTACGTTATTGTT